GTTTAATAAATTTTGTCAAAATTCGATATTTAAATGTTTATAAAAAAAAAAAATTGTGCCTATGTATTTTTAATATTTTTCAACTGATATTATAACAATAAATCAGGAGCCTTGTATTAAACTTTTACACTTTTTGGCCCAATTTATAAACGTTTATTGATATTTATAGGAAAAAAAACTAGAAAAATTGAAAAATGAAAATATCCGTAAACAGCTCAAAAAGAGTCAAAATATTTTCAAAATTGTATGGTGTATAGGAAATGCTAATATTAATATTCAGTAAAATTTTCATGTATCTACAGTTGTTCTTTTTTGAATTACAACAATGTTATACATTTGTAAATACATTAATTTGTTTTAGAGTTACACCAAAAAAAAAAAATCGATTTTGAGGAAAACCGATTATTTTTTCATAAAAATTCCATTTTTTCCTTAATATTTATTTTGTTTTTCCCGACGCTTGTGAAAACTATTGGGAATTTTAAAATTTGACCTCCAGAATGTACCAACTAGATTCACTTTCCCATCGAACAAGATACTGTTGAAGAAAATCGAAGCAGTTTTACTGCACCAAACCGTGATGACAGACACAAAAATTAAAATTAAAAATTAAAAAAAAACCATATCATTGTAAAATCAATACATTCATCTTTCCACTCAGAATATCAAAATATTAATTGCAAAATACAAGATGTAAACAAGTATTTTAGTACTTATACTCGTTTAATATGATACTTACGCGGATGTACATCTGTACCATGTAGTCACCATTGGCGTACTTGCGTAGCGGGTGTATATGATGTGTAGTGTGTATGTACTATATACAACAACTATTTCAGTATCTTATAATACTATAATAGTATAATATTTTATGGATTATCTTCATAGTTCATTGTGATTGTCGATTGATTTTAATTTTTTATGATTTATCCACAACACTATGGCCGCGCCGCTTTAAATTCGTTAATAGGTACCTGAGTCCTGAATACCTCAATATTAGTAGACGATTTCCTACAGATACGACCATTCGGGTACAGACCATTGAACTAGGTATATAATATAGTAAACTATATTAATAATATAATATAGTAGGTAACTAATATAGTAATAATAATAATAATATAGTAACTATACTGAACTATATTATATAGTTCAATGGTACAGACATACAGTGACAGTTATTTATATAGGTACTTACTTTACCGATAATATCAATAACAAAACATAGAACTTCGCGGTCGTGTACTCATCACTCGTATATATCGTTTATTCTGCCGCGTAGGTACCTACCCGTTTTATTATTGAAAAATCGGTCATGTCTAAGTAGATTTCAGTAAATAAACCTTTAAAAAATGTTTACAAATATTTCTCAGTAGAGTTCAGATAATACCTAAACCTATATTAAAATTGTTGAGATAGAAGTGTTGATTTCCCTTCTATGTTTCTCTGGTAAACAATTTTATTGAAGTGCCACCCAGTGAAAATTACTTAAAATATGCTCTAAGAAATACTGAGAGAAACTGTTTATAGTTCCGAGTAAAGAATGTGCGTCGAAGTGTTGAACATTTTAACAAGTCAGTAAAACGAAACGATGAAGGTAGATTTGTTGTTCGATTACCGTTGCACGATAACATAAACCATTAGGCGCGTCGCGTTCAATAGCTGTGAAACGTTTTCTATCCTTAGAAAACCGATTTAGTTCGAATCCCGAATTAAAAAGAAATACGTCGAGTTTATGAAAGAATACGCGGGTATATGCAGTGGCGTCCGCATTGCCCGTATTATTATTACTTTTAAAAAAAAATATGAATCAAGTTTAAACTGTCAACTATAGTAAGATAGACGTAACTTTCATCATATGTGTCTTACTAGAATGAATTCATTTTTGAAAAAACATTGTATTTGCATACCAATTTTCATAAATTATCTGTAATTTTTCGGTAAAAGAATGAACTACTTGTATGAAAGACCTTGTATTAAATTGTCTAGCCTTAGCTATACATATTTTATATTTTATAAGTTTTGAACTACACATTAACTGTGGTTAAATTGTTTTGAACTTTAAATGCATATGTAAAAAGGTGGGTAAGTGGATGTCGCTCTGCTGTACAGTAGGTTACAAGTGGGTCACTGTATAATGGATGCTATTAAATTTGAATTCAATGATACAATATCATTGTATAAGAAAAACGATTCTGAGCGAAGACGGTATGTCAGTCTAGGTTTAAGACAAATTATATACATATCTATGGTATTAAAAAAAAAATTGACCTATAATAAATTCCAAATTAATCATATCACATTATCACAATATCCATTAGGTACTTATAACACGTTATCCATCTGACATCAACATCAATAACAAACCCTGATACTATCATAGATATATAATAGTACACTTTAGAAGTTTTAAGTAGGTACCCACGAATAATATTATATAATCACAACAAAATAACTAGGTTTTTTAATATGTAATTTCGTCCAAATTTGAACATAAAATGACTATAAAAATAAACTGTGATTGTATATTTTATAGATTTTTCGGTAAGAGAATTAACTACTTACGTGGAATCTTGTTTTAAATTTTCAATCCTTAGCTATAAAAACTGAACATTTTATAATTTATTAATTACGACGATTAATAATTTTCGAGATTTTGAAAAATTCTGTCAAAATGCGATGTTTAAATGCTTATAAAAAAAAATTGTGCCTATGAATTTTTAATATTTTTCAACTGATATTGTAACAATATACCAGGAGCCTTGTATTAAATTTTTACACTATTTAGCCCAACAGCTAAAACTTTATTGATATTCATAGAAAAAAAAACTAAAAAAATTGAAAAATGAAAATATCCGTAAACAGCTCAAAAAGAGTCAAAATATTTTCAAAATTGTATGGTGTATAGGAAATGCAAATATAAACATTCAGTGAACTTTTCATGTATCTATAGTTATTCGTTTATGAATAACAACAAAATAAGGAAATCGCTACATGAGAAATTGAGTTAACACATCCAATGTTGTAAAAATTTGAATTTCAAACGCTCATAAAAATTTAATTTGACTGTCCGGTAGAGATTTTTTTATTGATAAAGGTAGACAAACTTATGAGTAATCTTGTATTACATTTTCAAATCTTAGATTTAAAAAGAAAAATTTTTACGAATTCTTAACTCAAAATAATTTGCTAATTTTCGTGATTTTTCCATATTTTGTCAATTTTTGAACTTTAAATGCTTATAAAAAAAAACTGTGACTAACGATTTTTAATATTTTTCATCTGCCTTTGAAACAATATACTAGGAGCCTTCTATTAAATTTTCAAGTTTTTTTAACCAACAAATAAAATTTTATTGACATTTCTAGAAAAAAAACTAAAAAAAATACCAGTACGCGCGCGGGAAGTTAAACTTCTTTTGAATGGTACACGTGAGTGAGTGAAAAAGAAAGAAAAAAATATTAATTAATTTAAAAAATGAGAAGAAGTATCCGGAATTATTTATTATTGATAGTTTTATTATTTTTTTTATATTTTTATATTAGATAGATGGATAATTGTTTGTAGTATTGTTTTTATCCAGACAATAGATTTGTGAGTGAATACTAATAATAATAATAAAAATAAATAATAATCGATCATTAATTATTCATATTAATTAGTATGGCCCGATTATAATATATAATACTAGCTGATCCCGTGCACTTCGTTGCCCTTTATCTAAATGTATCAACTCAATATGAGTTATGACTCAAACTTTGTTCAATTCGTTATTCAATATTCGGTGTATGGTGTTCAAAATTTATCTTATCTTTTCCGTTGCCCGGAATAAAAATTCTGAATCGCAGCAGTACATTATCAGGTAGGCAATCTATCTGCGGTAGATCGCGGGCCCCGTGCTGTTTGTACGGAAGTGTATGATTTAACTCTAAATTATCAAAGTTATACCAAGTTTATTTTGATATAATACAGTGGATTAATATAACAAATTTGGTTGCTCGTAAAAATCACAACTCTTAAAAAAAATATGATTGTTGAACTCCTTTTGGGTGTAACTTGCTGGGGTAAGTGCAACTCAGCCACCCTGGTAGGCAATGTTCAATAATTTGATTTGATACAAGCTTGTACCTGATCTGCCCGAATAACCAATGGCAACCAATAAATAAATGCTAATTTCTAATGTAGACTGTAACCAATGGCAACTATTAATAAATAAAAATAAAATTTCCAATTTCCATCTTGAATCTCAATGTCCCTGTTTGAACACCTATTTAAAATGCGAATTTCGAAAAATCCTTTCTTAGCGCACGTCTACATCATAATAGCTATCTGTATTCCAAATTTCAGCCAGATCCGTCCAATGGTTTGAGCTGTGCGTTGATAGCAGTCAATCAGCTTACTGTTTTATATATACAGATATATCATATATATATATATATATATATATATATTATAATATATAATAAAACAACATTACCATGACAATATTTATTTATTTACGGACATGTACGCTTTCGCGTTCGTACGGCCGCCCGTTCGCTTTTTTTCCTCACTACCGTGCGTAAAGAAGTATAACTTCAAAAAAAACACATATCATTGTAAAACCAATACATTCATCGCTCCGCTCAGAATCTGAAAAATATTAAAAAGTTAAGACTTTTCGAAATAAAAAGTGTTTTTATAACCCTGTATAATATGTACATTATGTACTCTATGTTTGTATGCTGAGAGGTAAATTAATGAAACAGTTTTTCCTTATATTTTACTAATGGCGTTTACTCCATGATCACTTCAATGACATAAAGTGGCCCATAATCGATTGAGATTTCACAATTATAAATATAAACATGACATATTCATACATTTTACTGTACAGGTATAGGTATGTTTTGAAAATTGAAAAATCGTTCTTGGGTCTGAATTAAAATATCTACTTTTTTGGATATTGCCCATCTTATACACATTTGGTATTTTGCTGTATTAGTGAAACGTACAAGCATTCAATGTTTCTTTATGTACTTTACTTGCATTCGTTTTGGCATTATGGTTGGCTTTTCATTTTTTCGGTCGCTCTGTTTACCATACACAGCCGCTCTATTGGGCCACTGCCAACTATAAGGTTTCCACCATCGTCTAGGGGAAAGTTTGTCTACTTTCTGTCCACCGTCTTCAAGAACCGGACTCTGTTGAAAATCTGAACAAAATCCGTGATGTAATCGTTCAAATGCCACCCATGCCCCGGCCTCAAACACGGACATCACTTCTGAGTAAGATAAACACTTGACCTGATCGCTGCATCCGCATAACGCGGCGTCTTCAAACAATAGTTTTGCTATTCCCCTGGCTAATTTGTCTCCCCGTTGCGACGTCAGATGATGATAACTTCCTCCACATTTTTTATCCAAAATAATTTTCGAGGGCAAGGTTTGAGTTGACAATGGAGGCAGAAATGGTCGCTCCTTAATGATTAGATGACCACCAAAATGGGTCGAGGTCGTTCTAAGTTCGATGTTTTTACTATGTTCCTCAGCGTAACAATCAATCAAAGTCATGACATACTCGGATCTAGCCTTTGCTTCAGATTGTTGAAGTCCCAGTCCCATGGCGTTATTGTATTCGTTTAATCTATACATTTTCTATTTGATAATGAAATAAAATGTTGTCTAAGATTTTAACAATTTGAATAAACAAATTATTTGAATACATATTTCTTTATTTCTAAAATAATCCATATGGTAACATAATAGTAGTATTATATGATAATCTTTTTTTTTATTATAGCCACATTGTATTTTTAGTTATATTTTCCCTCTTTATAATTAGTTGTTTTTAAAAACATAAGTGTGGTAATCATAGTAGGTATATAATATTGAGGCGTGCATTGTATAGGTGAGGAAGGCACTCGCCAAAGGAAATAACAGACACATGATGTACCATTTATGGTATTAAATAAAATACTAGTTGTTGTGTTAATTGATTTATCAAAAGTAGGTACCTGCATATAATAACACATTAAATGATGTTTAATTAAATTATATTAATTTATGAAGACTGTTAGGATTTACAGATAACTGACTGGTCATTTATGTCTCACTCAGCGAATTTGCTTAGGTCGACAAAACACAGTCACGTTTTGTTCAAACAAGCATATACATCCATTTTCAACGTCCAAACTCTTTTTTATTTGTGCTAGAGTATTTATTTTTTTTTTGGTCCTAATAGTTGTGTGGAGAATTTTTATGACTTAGTACTACACTGTTAATTGTCCATAAAAACTTTTGTTGATCGTTGATATTACAAAATAGCTCTTAAGGGGATTCGATCCGGTGATTTAATAAGGGGTCGTGTATAGGCAATTCGATGTATTATAGTCGTTTCGCAGTGTGTTTGTGTGCGAAGTAAATGATCATTAGTGTGCGTAGATACGTTCGGAATCAGCGTGGTTCGCACCCGCATGCACATGTCACATAATAAAATATTTGTTCCAACGAGAAACTAATTTCAATCAATTGAGACCTAAAAGCCTGACAAAAATACGATAACTTAGAATGATCGGATTTTAGTTCTGTAAACATATTTGAACTCATCGTTCTTTTTTCTAGGTTATTGTGGGAGTCGATTTTTGAATAACTGTTTAACTTTTTAAAGAAAGACACAAACAATATTCAAAAAATTGAGAAATCGAAATATGATTTAACGTGAATTTTAAAAAAATATCGAAAATTGATTCCCACAATAACCTAGGAAAATTGTCAATGAACTCGAATCTTTTTACAGAATTGAAATCTGATAATTCTAAGTAGGCGTATTTTTGTCAGGCTTTTAGGTCTAAATCATGAAATAAATACGCTGAATCGAATCCCCTTAAATCTAATTTTTCTTATCTAATCATAGCAATAGATTTTCCGTATGTTTATCGATTTTACTAGTACTGTGGTTACCATCTAACGACAGTTCATAATATTTATAACGATTATTCCGTTTTGTTCAACTACAGACTTTTTTACAGAAATTGATTTTCAACTGCAGTAAGTATAATTACATATAAATATTTTATTCAAATGTATTATTAATATTTTTTTTTAATCTTTGTGTGTGTATCCTTAATGCAAAAAAGGATCTACTTACACATTACAATTACATACTGTGTAGTATATCTTGAATCTCAATGTCCCTGTTTGAACACCTATTTAAAATGCGAATTTCGAAAAATCCTTTCTTAGCGCACGTCTACATCATAATAACTATCTGTATGCCAAATTTCAGCCAGATCCGTCCAATGGTTTGAGCTGTGCGTTGATAGCAGTCAATCAGCTTACTGTTTTATATATACAGATATATTTATTATAATATATAATAAAACAACATTACCATGACAATATTTCTTTATTTACGGACTTGTACGCTTTCGCGTTCGTACGGCCGCCCGTTCGCTTTTTTTTCCTCACTACCGTGCGTAAAGAAGTATAACTTCAAAAGAAAAATGAAAATGTCCCTAAACAGTTCAAAATAAATCAAAATATTTTGAAAATGTTATCGTGTATAGAAAATGCAAATATAAACAACCAGTGAAAATTTCATGTATCTACGGTCATTTGTTTTAAAGTTACACCAAAAACCAAATTCAATTTTCTGAAAAATCGATTTTGCGTAAAAATTCCCGTTTTTCCTTAATTTTTCTTTTGTTTTTCTTGGCGCTTTTAAAAAGTACTGGGAGTTTTAAATTTTGACCTCCCCAATGCACCAACGATATTCACTTTCCAATCGAACAAGATACTGAAGTCGAAAATCGAAGCATTATTTCGACTACTTATCGTGTACACAGACACAAAAATAAAAAAATAAAAAAAAAATATAAAAACACACATCATTGTAAAATCAATACATTCATCGTTTCACTCAGAATCTAAAAAAAACTTGCGTATTACATTTTTAAGCTTTTCGACAGGATAAATAATTTTTTATTGACATTTATAAAAAAAAAATTTAATTAGTCAAATACAATCCAAGTGAGGACTATATAACCAAGCAGGGGCGTATATAGAATTTTCTTTAGGAGGGGGATATCAAAATTTGCTATCGCAACTTTTTGTTAGTTACCTACTCCATGTAAGGTATATAATAATAATAAATGTTGTGTATAGTGTCACTCACATGCCCACAGGATAACAAAATTATAAATAACAACTGTACTGCAGCAGTTTGTACTTTATACATGGAAAAACATGGGTAAGGGAGGGGGTCTATCCCCCATACCCCCCCCCCATAAATACGTGACTGTAACCAAGTTTATAACTTATGTCTTTATGAGGTAATCTATATTTAATTTTTAAACTCTTTTACCCATCGAAAAATCAATCAGTGTCTCCATCGTAGATTTAAAAATGAATTGTAGTAACTGTACAGTGTTATGTTTAATGTATAATATACCTAACCTATATTATGTGTATTAATTGTATATAATATCTACTATATTATACAGTTTAACGCGAATATAAAACGTTCGCCGCGATAGAGAGCGCCGATTTTATGGATATGGGACAGTGAAATTAATGTAAAAATCATTTATGCACAAACACGTACGTCCGTTGATTTCTAAAATATCGGTCAACCCGTGTAAGGTTCCTTGTATGATTTTCTACAATTAAAACCAAAAAAGTTTAGGTATCGGAAACTGAAAAAATCACATTAAATTTCTTTTAAACGTTTAAATTTCAAATTTTGATGACATTGGATATTCACCCGTAGTTTAACGATTTCTCATAAAGCGATGTTTTTATTTTGCTGTAGATAGGTAATTCAATAACAAATAACCGTTGATGGATACTTGGAATTTTCACCAAATATTAATTTAATGAATGTATAATAAATAAAAAGTATAATATAATTTTATTTATATTGATTGTTTTACACTTTTACGTACGACTTGCGTTTTAAAAACCTTTTGAATTTTTTTGAGTTATTTATGAACATGTAAATATTTCAATTTTTTCAATTTTTTCAATAAATGACAATAAAAGGTTTTTGTTTTGTCAAAAAATTTTAAAATGTAATAGTATGTTCCTCATTGCTATACTTAGACAAATTCATTAAAATTACGAACATTTGCAAATTATTTTTGTAGTGCAAATTACTTTGCTTTGAAAAGCTAAGCTTATACCGATAGGCGCAAATAGGGTGGGGCTTGGGGGGGACTTAGCCCAAATGTGAATTCAGTCCCCTAGATTTATTATCGTATTAATGTAATTTTTGTAAAGAAAAAAATTAAAAAATTAAAATATGAATAGTTTTATAAAAATTGTTCAGAGAGTTTGAAGGTTTTAAACAGTGTATACATTATAACATATAAAAGATAAACCTAACCTATTGGCTTTTACTATTATCGCTGATTTATCGGAAATAATATTAATATTTTTAGTGTTTTGTTTGTGTTTAGCACGATAATGTAGACAATAGATAAAAATTTTGTTTTAGTAGTTTGGGCTTACTTAGTATAAAAAAGACATAAACAATGATGTGGAATCGGTCTTACCTACATGATTTTGCCAAAACTCAAAGAAGAATTAATTTAATTTTGTAAATATTAATTGGAATAAAATTGTAAACAGCTCAAAAAGAGTCAAAATATTTTAAATCTGAATTTAAAAAAGAATGGTCAGTGATAAATTAAAAACTGTTTTTAAAAAATATAAATTTTAATACAAGTAGAAAATAATAATACATTCTTCGAATTTCGACACGATTAAATTAGAGATTTAAATATTATATAATTGCATATCACATATTATTATACATTATTTTAAATATTTCAAATTAGAATACGACTTACAAGTATAGGCCAACCAATATAGTCTTAATGGAGTTTTTAAAAAAATCAAATAATTGAAAGAAACAGTTTCGACAAAAGTGTACCTACTAATTAGAATTTTTATTTATAATTACGTCTTCGGTAGTGTTTAAACTGTTTAATATTAATTGTTTTGCATCTTGGAATTATTTATATTATTTTTAGCACTGTTCGTTCTCATACAAGTAGCTACAAGTATGTGCCCGCGACGACTCTCACTCGCTGTGCTGGGATCGGCCAAAAAAATTGAAAATATCCCTCGACTTGCTATGCAAAATGCAACAGGACCTCAAGTTGCGGTCACATGGTATATAAGCTCTTAATATGTATTTACGTGTTATACGTATTACGTATACTACTATTTATATTGAATACCTAGTCGTTATAAAATTAAGGTCGTTATTAATAGAGTGGTTATACTGTGGTTACCCTGTGACCAACTTGTGATGAAGTTGAATACCAAGTCGAGATATATATTTGATTTTTTTTTGTCAAGGAGTGGTAGTGAACAAACGGAAAAGGTCCAAATTAGATTTATGTATCGGCCATTTTTAATTTTCCCATATATATAATATTTAGTAAAATAAAAAATAAAAAATTTAAGCGTTATAAAACAAAAATAAATATACTATAGTTGTATCTCTAGGATCTAAAAATTATGTATAGGTACCTACATATAAAAAAAAGGTGTTCCCCTGTACAGTAGGTTACACGTGGGTGACTGTTTAATAGATGGTATTCAATTTGAATTCAATG